GATTATAATTTATTATTCAATAAGTTTATAGAAATTTTTTCCAAATTTATATTAGATTTTCTGTATCTCCTACCGTGAGGGTTCAAAAAAGCATGCTCATTTTTTTTTTACATATGAGTCATTCGACATAAGTCGCGGCCGAATCTGTTTAATCGATGATGGCCAATTTGGCTAGTTTTTACATACGTTATAGAGGCAAATGTTTATTAAATTTCTATGAAAGCCGTTTGAAAAAATATTGTACCATTCTGGAGATATTTAAATTTGTCCCAAGGCACTATTACTCAAAAAAGGAGCATTTTTTGCTATTTCTTGTGGCACTCATATCTCAATAAGGATAAATCTATTCGAGCTCATTGTTTTATGGGTAACAGTTCAACATGAGATGTATTTACAGTAAAGATTTCAAGCTAAACGGATATATCCTTAGTGAGATATGAGTGCCACAAGAAATAGCAAAAAATGCTCCTTTTTTGGGTACTAGTGCCTTGAGACAACTTTAAATATTTCCAGAATGGTACAATATTTTTTCAAACGGCTTTCATAGAAATTTATTAAACACTTGCCTCTATAACATATGTAAAAACTAGCCAAATTGGCCATCATCGTTTGAACAGATTCGGCCGCGACTTATGTCGAATAACTCATATGTAAAAAAAAATGAGCATGCTTTTTTTGAACCCTCACGGTATTGCATCATTATTTCATTTGTATTGAGAAAATATTCTTATAAATTTTCTAAATAATTTCAAATTAATAATAGATAGTTCAAGTTATCAATTACAAGATTATTAGAGTAATGCATATGTACAATTCTTTCTATCAGTATCTAACTCAAACAGGAATTATCTTTTTATATCCACTAATTATTTATAGGAATTTAAGTATCATGGTGAGTACCCGAAACACTAATTGTAATATTTTAATGATTATAACATGTTTCCTTCGTCTTTTGAATGAATTAAAAAACCAACGATTAATTAATTATTATTAGAAGAATGATATTTTTAATATCTCCAAAACGTTTTTATATACATTATAATAATGAACTATATATATAATATCTATATGAAAGTTTGATTCTTCTTTCATTTAATTTTTTCTTAAGATGGACTTAATACTTGAAGTGATATATTTTTTTTATTTCAGTTCTTTTTTTTTATTGTAATGAAGTCAAAGTTCTATCAACTTATTATTTATCTTTATTAATAGAATTTTATTGGTTGTACAGTAGCAGAATTTCCACATATCAACCAACATTAAGGAATGTAGCGGATTTTAGGAAAGTTTTCCAGTATTTTTTCTAATAGAATACAAGAAAATGTTTGAAGATATTGAAGGCAGAGGTGTTACAATCTCAACGGCTCCCATTGAAGCAGCCCTGTCTATTAGTCATATTGATGATAATGTTTTTATTAATTTGTCGGTCTTATAAAAGAAGATCGATTTGTATAATAAATTTTCAATAAACATATATTCTTTGTTTTTTTTACTTTGGAATTCTTTTCTTTTCGATGGTTTTAAGCAAATGTAAACTATTGATTTCATTATGTTTTTGAGAGTTGACATCATCATCGTGTCATTATTACTAACTATCAGTTTTCTATTATTATAGCTATCAGATCAAGTTTGATTGAAAAAAAAGAGATAATCGATATTCATAAATACAATATTTGTTTCTTTTTCACAGAAAAAGTGATAATAGCTAATATAAAAATGGATAGATACTTTAATAGTTGACTTTATTTTATACTGTAAGACAGATATCGATAACTGATGACATTATCACTCTACAGAAATATGATTTCAAACTCTTACACAAAGTATTCTAAACTAATCTTTTATAAAATAAAACCTATAAACTTGTTCGTTTTATTTTTTGATAGATTGAAAAATTCAATGATTATCACATGCACATTATATGCGAATGTTGAAGATATAACTAGCTCTTTCTATCTATCAATTCGAAGACCAATCAGACTAGTATTGATTTAACTCAATGAAATTTTGAAAGTAGTTCAATATGAGATAAAAATATTGAAGAAAAAATATTAATCATACAGAGACATTCCAAAGAGAATATTTCTAAACTACAATTTAATTATCTTACTTTTTATTACTTCTAATTAATAAATTTCGATTAAAATAATAAGATTTTTATAATAGCTAATAGATTAATGTGAATCAATCTTTGATGTTCAATAAACATGAGCATATTTCAAAAATGTTCACAATCTTTTGTTTTGATAGAAGAATTCATCACTAGTTATCTTAAGAGTGAAGAACCAAAAAGAACCGAAATCGATTAGAACTAATTGGAACCGAAACCGAAACCAATCAGAATCGGTTGGAACCTATTGGAACCGAAACAAGAACTGATGAGAATCGGTTGGAATCGATAAGTATAGATTGAAACCGATCCGAATCAATTGGAATCGACAGTAGAACTGATCAGAATCTGTTGGAACCGGTAAGAACCGATTCTGATGGGTTTTGATTTCGGTTCCAATCAATTCTTATCGATTTCGGTTTCGGTTCTCATCAGTTCTTATCGGTTTCGGTTTCGGTTCCAATCGATTCCATCGGTTTCGGTTCTAAAATCGGAACCGGCATCGGTTAAAACCGGAATCGGTGCAACCCTATAATGTGTTCAATTTTTTGACATAAAAAAATAAAAACTAGTCACTTTTTTTGAAAGTCAGCTTTTTATAGTGAAATATCTTTTCCTTCATCCAATTTTTAGTGTTGGAACTTCCATAGATTTTTTCATACTAGTAAATACTACTCTATTGGAAACATATAGTCTCATCTTTTGAAGTCTTGTGACGGAAAAAACTTGGCAAAAACTTTACTCTTTTCAAAATTTTCTTTCAATCAACAAAAGTATGAATGTAAGAAAGTTGTCTATCTCACATACACTTCACATCTTAGACAGATCAAAAAGATTTTTTCTTCCGAAAAAATCGTTTCTCTATAGAAAATTTATTTTCCATAAAACAGAATCTTTGAAGTCTTAGCATCAAATATTATGTTTACACTTGGGATCAATATGATTGATTACTTATAACCCGTTAGGTTTCAACTAAAATAGGATTGAATACTCAGTAATCTTCCTTGGTAAACTACCAAGTTTTAAACATACCTATTTTCTACATAGAAGTTCTTGATTTTGGAAAAACTTGTATTTTTTGAATTTTAATCTAAAACTTTCTACATACAGACAGTTCAAATCGACTAGCTTACACAAAAAAAAACTCACGTCAGAAGTTTTGAGCAAAGTCACTTTCATATATGAAGCTTTCAAAAAATACATTGGATATACACAATCTCGAAGAGACTTTATTGAAAACTTGGAAGTGATTTTTTTTTTTTGATGGAATCTAGTCTAGTTAAATTCTTTATATGTGATCAGTTAGAGATGAAAATTGAAAAGTATATCTATGAAAATAAGAATTGAGCATGATATAAGTTGATAAATTAATGATTTTATTGATTGACATTTTATTTATCCATTTTCATTATTTTGCAATAAAGTGCTATATCTGTTTTTATTATTCTCAAAAGTTGACATCTTATTCATGATAAATATATGATACGACCTTTTGAAGTTTGTACTTTCTCGATAGATCATTTATTGAAAGAAAAAAAATCCAATGGGAATTGTTCTAAGCAAGGAAAGAAAATTCAATTGAGATGTACCATAGTTTTAATCTTTACTCCTTTGTTTATCAATTATTGATATTATTATATTATGTTTGTCTTTGTATTTTTGTTTTTGATACAATGTTAATTGTTTTTCTATCTGTTTCGTTTTGTTAAATCATGTAGATGCATAACAATAAAAGATAAAAACACAATTGAAAAATACACCAAATGCCAAAAAATATTCAAATCTAATGTATCAATCATTCGAAGAATATTTCTAATCTTTTAGAAAAATTTTATAAATAAAATAAAGAAAAGAATTAATAAAAATTATTAATTTATATCGTTCTTTTTATTAATTTTACATATGAAAAGTTGAAATATCAATTTACATTTTCTTTCATTTTAATTTATGCTTAAGGCCCCCCCTCAGAAACGAACTTTGTTATTTTTCATCCGATTGCACCCAAAATTTCGGAGAATGTTAGACTTGACTAGAATAGCTTATGGTTAAAATATCTTCCCCAAATCTCAAAGAAATGCACAAATTCAAGGCAATTCATTACCCTTTACACGGGGAAGGATTTCACAATAAGGATACAAGCTAACAAGCTCGGGCGGTTTTTAACTTGTAGAGTACCTTTAGGGCCAGATCCTCACAGAGCCCGAATTTTGAATTTCCTTTTGTTTGATTTTTAAAAATACTTTTTCGAAAAATGTACAAATTCAAAGTGCTAATAAATATGAAATATCTGAGTTTTTTATTTCAGCAAATGAGAAATTCAAAAATCGGAGCCTGTGAAAATCTAGCCCTAACTGTCCTCTATTTAACAAAAAAAAAATTATCCCTTCTCTATTGAGTCAGTATTAAGAAATCCTTCCCCGCATAAACGGTAAACTCGAAAAAATTGATTTTGAGAAAAACAAAAAATAAGTATTAGAAGTCGATTTTTCGGAAAATCACCTGATTTTTATATCAATCTTCAAGACGGGCTATAAATGTGTGATCTTAATATTAAGTGTTGATAGTCTCTTAGTGATTAGTATTTAAAAAAAACTTTACGAAATGATGATGCAAAGAGAAAGCAGCGTAAAAAGTCGAAAAACCTTGAAAAAACACCATGAAAATTTCTCGAAAAACATGATAGTAGGAGCAAAGTTTTAGATGATAAGTTCGTCAAAATCAATTCATTTTTCGATAAAACACAGATATTCTGAAAGAGGAGACTTCAGTGCATCTTCCTATGATAAAACTTCAATTTTGACTCATCTCCGAAAAATTGGATTTTCTGAGGGGGCACCCCCTTTAAATCAAATTATCATTATTTATAAATAAAAATAAATATAATTTAAATTTATTCTAAATTAACAAGAAAATGACATTCCTATGATAAAATAAATATAATCAAAAAATTTAAAAAAAAATCAATTATTCCAAAAAAAAAATGTCTGATTTTCAAAGTTTTATGCTTTGATTTTCACTAATTTCTATGTAGAACTTAATGATTTAAAGAAAATAATTCTTTGATTTAGAGATTGAGTTCTATTATAATAATTACAACAAAAATAATGTTTTCGGATTATTTTTTCAATTATTTTGATTTTTCTAAAGTTTTTTAATATAATAATTTTCTTATTTTTTATTAAATTGATTTTGTTATTTTAAGGTTGATACAAAATAAAGAAAAACTCAAGTATTTATCCTTGGTTCTTTTTAACCGT